TGTGGGGGCTGCCATTGATTGCCAGGCAGAGTCCGAGACCATGCCAAATGCAACCTGCATTCCTTCCATACTCACGTGATTCATATAAATGCAGACTGCAAACGGAAAATGGCTTTGACCACTCCTGGGATGGACAGAGTTAGTGCTATTTTTTTTCTTTCTGGACACATAGACATTACTTGTAAGCAACGCGGCATGGTGGTTCAGTAGTTAGCACTGCTGCCTCACAGCGCCAGGGACCCGGGTTCAGTTCCAGCATTGGACAGTTGTCTGTGTGGAGTTTGCACATTCTCCCGACGTCTCCGTGGGTTTCTTCCGGATCCTCCAGGTTCCTCCCGAAGTCCAATGATGTGCAGGTTGGGTGGATTAGCAATAGGAAATGGAGGGTCACAGGGATAGGGTTGGGGAATGGGGATGGGGGTGGGTCTGGGTTGAATGCTGTTTGGAGAGTCGGTGTGGACTCGATTGGCTGAGTGGCCTGCTTCCACACTGTAGGGCTTTGAAAAAGGGGGAAAAAAACAAACATGAAGTCCGTCAAGGGGCTATTACATTAATCAGGCAGATTTGCAGTACGTATTGAAGTCATCTATAATGCATAGCATCATATATGCATTATCAAAATATGTCAGATACAATTGTTGGTTGGGGGAGGGGGTAAGAAGTAAACAATAGGTGGGGTTAGAGCCCAAAGAGAGAGAAGCGCAGTTAGACAGACGAAGGAGTGGGTAACTATCTGGCTAGGAGCGAATAGCTATCACTGGGGACTGTTAGTGGCTAACACTGGGTGGTATGTAATAGCAGACTATGTGATAACAAGGCCTGGTAATGGGGTTTGGGGTAAGGACATGGGAGAGCTCAAGCCCTAAAGTTATTGAACTCAGTATTGAGTCCGGAAAGCTGCAAGATCCCCAGGCAGAAAATGAGATGCTGTTCTTCCAGCTTGCGCTGACCTTCACTAGAACACTGCAGCAAGCTTGAGACAGAGATTAAAGTAGAAACCGCTGGAAAAGCTCAGCAGGTCTGGCAGCATCTGTGGAGAGAAAAAAGGGTTAACATTTTGGGTTGAGTGATCCTTCCTCAGAACTGATGGTAGCTAGGAAAGCATTGGCCAGCATCTCTGTCTCAGGCCTTTTCCTAGCCACCATCAGTTCTGAGGAAGGGTCACTTGGCCCTGAAATGTTAACTGATTTCTCTCCAAAGATGCTGCCAGACCTGCTGAGCTTTTCCAGCAATTTCTATTTTTGTCCCTATTGAAAGTTGCAAGTAGAGGCATTCCATGGCCCTTGTTGTTAGACTTCTGCATTTCCCACTGTCTGCTGGAGTATGCTAAACCATCACTGTGAGTAATGTGAATGCTGACTGTTCACATTAATAAGGACCTATTCTGTTTCTTTACATTCCCCACAAGGTTCATTGCAGCCATGACTGATGAATCCAGTCACAGTAAGAGGTTTTTATCATTAGTTGCTGTGATGCAACAAATGTATAGAGAAATGGAGAAGGAACAGATCTGCCAGCAAGTCCAGGGCCAGGAGAAACATCCAACAGATGCTAATAGTCTCCATGTGAAGAAGTCACAGCTGAAGGTCCCTGCAGGATGTGCAGGAATGCCAGAATTTATCAATGCCATTTCCTCCATATGAGCAAGGTGCATGGTTGTTGCAGGTTGTGGATGTCCTAAACCACTCTCTCAGCTCTGCCTGCTACTGGATTAGGGCCAGTGACATGAAGGAGTGGGTGGCCATCCTATCACATCTGCACTAAATTTTTTGCAGCTGGCTGTTTCCAAAGATCCATTGGAGACCTGGGTGGGATCTCTCAATCCTCAACCCACAAATGTATCAAGGCTATTACCAATGCTGTTTGGCCAGATCACACCATTTCATCTCGTTTCCCAGTGATGAATTCAGTGCTGCAGTCTGGGCTGTAGCCTTTGGCAACATAATTGGCTCCCTCCAGGTGCAGGGCAAGATAAAGTGTAGACATCTTGCATGAGAGGCTATGTCATAACACAGCTGACTTCCTCAATTGAAAGGATTCCATTTCATCAATGTGCAAGTAATCTGTGATCATCCATACCACATTTTAGAACCCTCTGCCAAGTACCATGAGAGCTACTATGATGCCTATATCCTTAAAAACTCTCGTGTTCTTGCTTAATTTCAAGTGCTGGATGCTTTACAAGGATGGTTACTGGGAGACAAGGGCTTCCCTCTGTGACCAAGGCTGATGATTCTGTTACACAGCTTCCTGACTGAGGTGGAATGTAGTTGCAATGCAGCTGATTCTTCAACCAGGGACATGATGGACTAGTTCTGCTGAAAATGATGTTCAAGTGCATGATTTCAATTCATATGAGCTGGGTGCAGTGATCACTCATTGACTATAAATTCATTGGTACAAGGTTGGCTGTTCACTGGGGCAAATGAAACTCTGTGTCTTTTTTTTTTGGCTTTTGACATTGCTGAATAAAAGTAAATGTTTTGAACTGTTTGAAGGCTTTCCATCATGCGATGGTCCCATTTTGAACAATGAGAAGGTGCTAGGCTACACTGGGCATGGGGGAAAGAATAGCACTGACTGAGACGGTGTTGTAAAATGGGATTAGGCTAAGGATAGGCAAGTTGTGTGGCTTGGTTCTTAAGCAGCAATAGATAAAGAATATGCATTTGTATGTATATTGAATCAGATATGACACCTATGTGCTCTGAAAAATATTGGTTCATGGTTGCACTGCCAATATGTGCACAGTGAAGGAAACTGGATTGCTGGTGCTTAACTAGATACATAGCTGAGCTTAAAGATGACATTGATGCCAAGGATCCTGGCTTATTCAAGCAATGACAAGTACTTCTGCCTATAGCAAGTTTTAGAGTACCATCAACAGGGTGCCATAGTGTCATGGTGCATAGATAATGAGGAACGTTTGAGAAGATATCGTGAGAAAGTACACTAGGCCTTACAAAGAGAAGCCCTCCGTGGACTTGCCAAAATTGACAATTAGCTGATTTGTGATAAGATTCAGTCCTCGGTGTCATGGAGGGAGATTCAATCGCAGATTTCTAAAGGGAATTACCTGAAGAATTGAAAAAAAACAGTAGGACAATGGAGAAAGGCGGACATTGGAATGGAAGTTAAAAATTCAATGTTAAATTCCTTCTTGGTATAAATTAGACAAATAAAGTTAAAAGTTCAACATAACAGTTCCTTCTTAAGTGCTTAGCCATGCTGAGCTCGCAATCCCCACAAGTGTTCAATCTCCTCCCCATTGGGCTCGCTGACTCGAATTCCCCCACATGCTGTCACTGTCCCTTGTGCTGGCTTGATTTCCTTCATGTTGGGCTCACTCTCTTGCTCTCCCTGGCTCTGTACCAATGTCAACTCCCTCCGTCGCCACCACTGGGAAGAAACCTTGCCCCAGGCTGAACATCTTGAAGCCACCAATCTCGCCACAGAAAGTAAGTAGATTAAAGTAAGAAAAAAAAAGCTACGAAAGAAAAAAAGTAAAAGTGGATGGAGCAGATGAGCTCCAGACAGGAACCCTCACACTGCACTGCTACTCTGCCACCATCTTGTCAACAGCTTGCACTGATGCTGAAAGCTAGCACAGATGCAAAGGGATGAATGGCCTCATGTGTTACAATCATTCTATGATTGTTAGTTTGGTTTATTCTTAAATCTTAGAACAAATATGGAAATATGTGGATATAGCAGCCTATATGTCTTGTTTTCTATGTTGCTCTGGCAAGCTCCTTCCCATAGAAATGAGGTCCTAGCTTCTGAATTTAGGCAGTAAATATTATTCTAAACCAGATATTTGATCTGGACCAGCCAGGATGTTATTGCCTTTTCAGATTTAATTTTGTGTGCACAACTATACACACGTTCTGCTTTCTGGAGTACATTGCATTTGATTAATCATCTGTTGGCCAAATTGGTTCTACATAGTCATTCTCAAGAAAATTACTCAAAATCGCAAGCTTGGTAAGTACCTGATTTGCAATAAGCTCTCACTGATCAGGCGGATTGGCAGAGATAGTGTCCCTGCCTCTGAGCCAGCTTGGGTTCAAGTCCCATCTAACATCTCTGAACAGCTTGATGAAAAGTACCTGAAACAAATACTGCAGAGCACCAGTGTTAGCACTCTCCCAGAGCCTGACTGCTCTGGATTCAAGTCCCAATTCAGAGCTTAGCTCAGGAAGAACCCAGCCACTGGTACAGGCAATCCAGTGCATATTGGTGCCAGTCTTCAGCCTTGTTAAATGAGGTAGATTAGCAATAGGAAGGGCAAGAGATCTGTTTGTAAAAGCACCCATCAAATCCAACAAATACAGTGGATATGAAGAGTTGGTCAATCAGCATCATGGCAATTTCCTATAATACAGAGGGGGAAAGCTGAAAAAGCAGATGACTACAACATTTCAGTTGCATATTGTCTTGGTTCAGTCAGGGTATGCATATTGATTAAAATTGTGGGAAGCAAGATATTCTGATTCATATTTTTTTCAGTTCAGTACAGGATATTGAGGGGAATGCATAATTCTAGATAATTTTAATCAAGCTGTTTAGATATGTTATGACACACTTGAACCCAGACTTTCTGATCCAGCAATGCAGCAATACCCTGCACCATAAGAGCCCTGATGTACAATTCTGTGTATAACAAGCATGTAATCAACGTTGTATTCCTTCAATTTACCAATTGATTTAAATCCAACCAAAAATGGTGCAAAAGATCAACATACATTTTATAATTTGCTAACCAACTTTAAGCGACTACATAAAAGTATAGTGAAACTCTGATACATTGCTCTGACAAAGTAACACTGCTGTTGTAAGAAAATACGTCTGTTTATCCTTGACTCAGACTGGTTCAGCTATACTTACTATATGCAAATCTGTTTAATGCATCGCCCTGTATAGTAAGATTCGACTTGACTCTAAGGTAAATGGGCTTTTCTTATATATTAATTATTATTCAATATCTTTCTGTTCCCCAGGATGAATCTCTTCAGCGTTTGCAGAAGGAATCAGAAATTTTACAGAAAACATATGCACACTACTTCGATCTAACCATAATCAACAATGAAATAGATGAGACCATCAGGCATCTGGAAGAAGCCATTGAACTTGTGTGTACTACACCACAGTGGGTCCCTGTATCCTGGGTATATTAAGGACTAGATGGAAAAATCATGAACTTTATCATTCCCTAGCACCACCCTGACATTAGACTTTGTAAATGACCTCGCATCAAGTCTTACCCCTTATAGACAGTCTAGGATTAGTGTACCCTAATTTTTTTTTTGACTATTGTCATGTCCTACTAGATGGATGGAAAGATAAAAGTTACCAAACTCTTTCAGTGACAGTGTCCCTTTTTAAAGCTGTGTGAGGCTTGCAATTGTTATCAAAAATTCAGATCTACATATGCTTTCTGATCTGTATGGATCCAATAATTCCAAATGGCCCTGGAAACTTATGCAAACTCTGTTATCTCCAATTTTTTTTCAAGTAAATTTTAAATGCTACTAACCTGTCCAGTTTATTTGGAAAATATTTTTAAAATAGTAAGAACTTACCATTAGTGCAGTCCAACTAGCTTGCTGGCTAATTGAAACTTAATTTCATTATGGTGATAAAACAAGTGCAGAATATAAACCTTTTAGTTTAGTTCCCACATGAAGATCAAAAAACATGAGCACAAGCATTAATTGATATTTTTGAGTCTGCAATGTTACAGTGGTCAGAGCATGAAGTAAATTTAGATTTGATTTTTTTTCTTACATAAACCAATCAGGGCTATTAAAGGGATACCGTCATTTACAATTTAAAGATGTACAAACATTTTAGGATTTGAATCAGGATTTACTGCATGTGGACAGTTACAAGCATTCATGCTGTTGGTGTATCTGTGTTGGAAACTGTATTCTACAGCAACGTACATTCCATTTGTTGGAAAATTACCCAAGGGAATTATTGTTCAAAAAACTGTAAACCTATGCACATCCCTTGCATTGTGGGCAAGTTTATAAACAACTGATTTTTAAATCATGTAGTGAAATGTGTTTGTACTTTGTTGCAATTTAATTTGTTCTAAGGGGAAGAATTAAGAGTTTCACCATTTCAAATGTGTGTTGTCTTTGAATATAAATATTTTAATTACGTTCCGTCTGGAAAAAATTGTTTAATTTTTATCATTGAAGTATATGTATTAAAAATGCACAAATTTTACTAAAATAGTGTGCAAAAGAGAAATAGTTTGTGGTCAGGAATAAGCAGTTTAGCTCACATCACAACTTCATTCAAACTGGCTTCAATGCTTCTGAAGATAGCAACAAACACAGCAACTGCAATTGGGCATTTTTTGAAAATATACTTCCTTTTATATGGTCTTTTTTTAATCATTTTTATATTAATCCCTAAATGTCTTTCTACAAGCTTATATTGAACATAACTAAACCCAACCATGTAAAATTGAAAAGTTGCAAATAGTGATCTTCAACGCAGCTGCCTAAGACAATATTGTGTTTCAATTACAGGACTGTAAGTTCTATACTCTTGTAACTGGTCCATGGTAAGACCACTATGGTGCTGGCTGTTGGGAACTGAACAGTACCTCTGAACATGTACTATAAAAATGAAAATACTGTAGAAAACTGTAAACAGAAATGAAGCACAACTTCACAACTGGAATTTATTGAACATTTTCATATTTTCTGGCAAGTCCATTCACATAGAGAAAAATGGTATTTTATAGACCTGTTCCCACCAGGATTTTAGAGCACAGAGGAATGAATTGTTTGCCTTAAGACGTTTTGTAACTTAATTCCTGCTTTCTTTGATGTAATACCATTCCTAACAGTATTGAAAGGATATTTAGATATTTTATACATTTCAAAAATTGCATATTGTTCAATATTGCATAAATGCGGTGGATGCTTTGATGAAACACAATTGGCCATGGAAATCTGTATTAAAGGACAAGTGGTACAGTTGAAATTCATGAGTAACTGAAAATATAGATCAATTGTAATGGGAACTTTTTAAATCATGAATACTTTAATTTACTTGTCTTTCTGAATATTTTATGATTTGGTGCTTAATATGTCAACTATAAACACCAACTGAAACAGTTTCAATTTTACTATATTAATTAACCAGGTGCTGTTGATTCAATCCCTTTTATTCTGCATTTGTATGTCAATAGTTAAGTCTTCAGCAAACATGCAGTCATTGATTTTCATATCATGGAAGACAAAATATGTGAATCTCATGGACATCCAGGAATATCATTCATCATGACCAAATGTAGAAAGTACAAGAAAAATAAGTACAAAGTTTCAGGTCATGTCAGGTACACCCTTTGTATTTTCTACAAAAGCATACATAATTTAAAATGGAGTTAATCATACACTATTGATAATGTATATGCTAATTACCAAATGGTGTAATTTTTACATTTCTTTGACATATTCTCTTCTCTAGTCTGCAAGTAAGCAGAAAATCTGTAGTGTAAACTTCTCAATATTGGCATGTTTCATTGTTGCCTAAAAAGAAACATGTTTCATGTGACACAACTGGCTTATAGCTATTTCTTTTTTCCTTCCCCAAGATATGATGCCTTAATTTTACACATCAGTCTATCTGAAAGTAAACAGAGTGTGTTACTACCACCATATGAGTGAAAAAGCAAACTGTATGAAGGCCGAGTCAAGTTACTTTTTCTTTTAGTAGTATCTGTATCACCTGAAAGTCGCTTAACACTGTGAAGCAGGCAATAATAAAATATTCTGTCTGTTGATGATTGACAGAAAGAATGTTCCCAAGTTCCCTGCTGTTCACTCAAATTGAAAATTATTTTGGAAGCATTCTTTTATATATGAGAACTTTTATATTTAGTGTGATGCTTGATTCAGCTGTATGACACTTATTTGGGTCAAATGATTGTTCTGAGGCTGCATTCCAGAGACAAACTAATCCATATTGATGCTCAAACACTGGGATAGTGCTGCAGTGGCTGAGATGCCACTATTCAAATGAATCGTTGAACCTGTTTGCCTTTACAATTGGGCATTAAACATACCATGGTGTCATTTTAAGATCAAAGGTGTCCCGTTGACATTCCACACAACCTTTATTTCTCAAAGTAACATGAAAAAAACATTCATGTAGTTATTTATCATTTTTTAAAATGTTGCTGTTCACAAATTGCCTGCCATATTTCCCTGCTTCACAATGACTAACAATGCAGCATAGTCCTTTGTTATGATTTTCTAAAAATGTGTGAAAGGCACTATTGTTATGCCAGAGCAATGCTCCAAGACAGGAAACCATAAATAGTTAAGGTTGTGCGTGAGAAGAGATGACCTGACTCTCTGTTTTCATTTACCCACCCCCTTGATTCATCACAAAATTAGTATTTTAAAATTGATCCCCTCCCTTATCTCAGACCTTTCTTCCAGACCAAATTAGCATCCTTTTTTAAAAAGAAACCAATTTAGCCAGACTTTCTTGAGTTTAAAAAAAAATAAATTTAGTTACTCAGAGATAGTAGGATTTCTGAAGAAGGGTCTAGGCCTGAAACGTCAGCTTTCCTGCTCCTCTGATGCTGCTTGGCCTGCTGTGTTCATCCAGCTCTACACCTTGTTATCTTAGTTTAGTTACGCATGTTTTTCATGTGTTTTAATGTAACATGCATACATTAGAATTAAGTGAATCCAAAAGGATAAAAGAAAAGCAAATATATGGATCAGTCTCTGCATTTCTTGTGAAGTGCAGATTATTGATTGTCGCAGCTGTTGGATTACCAGTACAACTAACTTTGATTTGGTTTGTGGATTCCATAATGCTTAGTTTTGCAAAATGGTTGATTCTGTAGTTCTGAATCCTTTCAACCATGAAGGAATTCCAGCATTCAGGGTTAGCAAGAGTCCTTTTGGTTTTCCTGATTTCCTTGTTACCTGGATGCTAGCAAGTTGACTTCCAGCACACAAAGTGAAAGCAGTGCCTAGAGGATATTTTTTTCAACTGTGACCCTTTACAATATTGTAACACAAAAACCTAGGCTGGTTCAAATGAGAATGCTCAGTCCCACTGGTGCACTCCAGTAGAGTTGAAACCTGTTTGCCTCTATTCTGCAAAGGAAAAATCACAATGTATCTGCAATTTGTGTCATAATCCACAGAGTGTTGATTACTTTTGAGCAGGAGATTGTCGACTCCTTGTTAACTTTGTAGCCACAAGATCACAGTCCAGTCTGTTTGACTTTCTCTTTTGTACATGTGCCTGCACACGCGCACACACACACCCAGCACCTTTTGAAGTGTTATTGTTTGAAGTTCCCATTGCAGCTGTAATTATGACATTCTGTGGGTGTCTGTTTCTGCAAAAAGACACTTAATTTACATCCACAGCTACTTTTGGCTATTTCAGCCCTATTTAAAAAAAATACATTTTGGAATTACAAGTTTAGGGTTCTGACCCATGGTAAGAGTGCAAGCTGTTGTATTTTTATTTATTTTTGATATAATTTATTGTCACACTTTTACCATTGCATGTTTTTGTTAATGTTCTGGCCTAGTGAAAGTCAGTGTTTGCTTTGAACGAAAGTGACCTACAAATTTATAATAAATTTTGGTTTTTATGCTAGTGTGCTAAGGTGACAGGGATCAGGAAAATAAGCAACACACAAAATATGTATTTAAATTAGTTTCCCTCTCTCTGAACCTCCTGCAACTCTACCATCAGTAGCAGAAGATACTGTGGTATGCCATCTGAAACTGAAACAAACGGAGGAACCTCTCATCTTTCCTCCTTTAAGTTCTGCTTAAAGTCCAACTGTAACCAAGTTTTTGATTGTGTCAGCTTTGGCTTAGCGTTTATTTTGAATTATGTATTTGTTTTCCATGTTAAAATTGCTTTATAAATTCAGATGGTTGTTGGAGTTATAATATTAGGGAATGGAAAATGCACTTTGAACCAGAAATATAGAACATATACAAAATGAGACCGATCCATTACTGAAGCCAAAAGAAGAAAATTATCTGTGTATGGTAATAAAAATATTCCCATCAGTGAGAAGCTAGCAAAAATGTAAATTGATTTCCATAGTTTAAAACAGAACAAATAAGAGTACATACAACTGTGAATGACACAAAGTAATAAATATGCGAATATACAAATTCGGATCAGAACTAGGCTACTCAACCCTTGAAAAATATGTGCCACGTTTTAGGCATAACAGTTTATTCTATCAAGAATTCTGACATCTGTGTCTGGGCCAGAGTGAACTGCAAGAGTACAGCCTGAGCTAAGTTTGATTGAAACTCAGCAATCAGTATATTCTATAATCAATAAGGCATCACACTTTTTCCACCATCTCAGTCTATCATCAGATATTTTCTGCAGGTTCAGTTTTGTCCCTTTAAGTTTCTGGAACTTGTCCTGTGGCAAAAGAAGACAATATGCCTTATTGATTTACAGTACAAGCAATCTACATCACCCTAAAAGTCATTTTTATCAGGAATCAAATGAAAGGTCTAACCCCAAAATATTAACACGACAAAAACAAAAGCTGCTGGAAAAGCTCAGTAGGTCTGGCAGCATCTGTGAAGAAAAAATCAGAGTTAACATTTAGAGTCCAGTGACCGTTCCTCAGAACTCAAAATATTAATCCTTATTTTCCCTTTTCATGTGCTAAAGAACTTGTGCATTTCTAACACTTACAGTTTTATTCCAAATTTCAACTATTGCAGTTTTTTTTCTTTTTAAGTCTCAATTGTTTTTTTAAAGAACTATATCTACAACAAGCATTTGAGTTCATTTTATTATATCTACTATTGTCAGTTTTGAAAATCTCTATCCTAGTGCAAAGTAAGTTCCATTTTCTGCCATAGCAATAGTTTGTTAATTTGGAGTACCTGCATTGAAACTAACTTGGAAACTGATGCCTCTACATTATTGCAATCAGAAAACTGCCATGTCCCTCATCTCCGTGTCTGAGCCATCATCTTGGAGTTACATCTCAAACTATATATAGAAAAGAATGTGTTGGGACTGTAGTAATTATTTAAGTGACAAGGATCCTTTATTACATGCTTTGTGACTATAAATAGAAAGCACAGAATTA